GAAGCCTTAGAGTATCTTAGCCAGTCCTAGGATTGTACTTTTCTGGACACTGACCTCAGATGTTGTACCTGGAATCTACTGGAGCCACTCTCCAAAGTTGGGGGTCACAGTCTCTAATGCTCCTATTACCACTGGGACATTGGTATATTGCTATCAGGCTGGTGAGAAAAAGGCAAGTAACAAAGGATGACAGACTGGTTGGTCAGGGGTTCATCCTACAGCAAGATAATGACCCATACATTAGAAGAAAACTAGACAGAGGCTTCACATGATAGAAGAGCAGCACAGCCTTCAGACTCAAAGCCCATGGAGCTGGTTTAGAATGAACTGGACAGAAGGCGACAGAAAAACAAAATACAAGTTTAACAGATTTGTTGGAATTTCTGCAAAAGGGGACAAACTTTATGAACAAAGTTTAATTTCCATTGTAGAAAGAGCGTCACAGGTGTGTTCGGCTGCTGTATGAGTCAAAAATGTGGTTTAAATTTAGTTCTACTACTAGATTCCATGATTTCTTTCTTTTAAGTATCTCCAATTGTTTCTTTTTTTCTATGCTTTATTTTCAGAAACACTGAGACATTGAATTATGTGAATTTAAGAAACAGATGGAGGTGCTCTAAAACTTTTGACTGGCAGCGTCTGCCCTGATTGTTTGGTGAACTGTGTCACTGTTATGTTTTACATCAGACAAAACTCCTAACACATGTGAAACAAAAACTTTCATATCTGTGTCAAGTTCTAATCATGAATCATTCATTTTGGAGAACAGAATTAAAATTTTCTCATTAATAACATTACATGATCATATCATTAGTGGACAATTCCACCAAAAGTCAGTAAATATTAACACTGAATAATTTCCCAACCTAAACGAAATGTGCTTCGTAACTAAAGTTTGATTGTTGTTAGCATTGAACTTACACTATGACTTTGATGGCATTTTTCACTGCTTCACTAATCAGTAAGGTCCATGCAGTGTTAAAGTTTTATTTGACAGAGATTCTGCTTCTTCACACAGTACTGTGCACGTAGGCATTCATGTAAATTGGCTGCTTCCCTTGTCTGACTTTGACATTGTCTCATTGCATAAACATGAATCAGGCAAATTTACACATGGAAATTTTTTGGGAAACATATAAATCTCAATAAGTTTTTACCAGTTTAACCTGGAACACCACAAAATGTCATTACTGTCTATAATATAAGTTATAATGAGAATATCTTTTGTAATCAATTGTATTTTTATTCATTAATTAGATGAATGAAACACCTCACAGCCTCCTCAGAGTTGTAGAGGAACACTGCACGGTGTGTGACATCTGTAGCCTTCTCAGAGCCAGACTGCACTCCTCTTTGATCTGGCTTCATTATGCAGAGTGAGGCCGACCTATTATGAAAGCTGAGAGGTGCTGTCTTCCAGCATATCAAGCTGTAAACACAGAGAGGTCCTCCGACAACTGGTTGAGGAAAAAATTGTTAATTGTGGCCTCTTCTTTAAGAGAAAATACTACCATATCTTTTCCTGGTTTACAAACACTTCCATTGGTCGTTATTAGACCAAATTAGGCTAGTGTTTTGCTCGTCCCTAATGACAGTTTTCCCCAGAAGCTTTATACTTTTTATCGAAGCTTTCCATGTCCCCTCCTTACTAATCCCTTCCTCTCATTAATCTGATGCCTTAGTTTATGCTTCTTCACATTTCTCACTTTCAAGCTTCAAGGTTTGCATTACAAATGTCCTCACAAGCATGTGATGAAGTACATACTGAGGTGTTAATTATGCATTTTCAAACCTTCAAATCAACAACTTCAGAGTCTAGTATACTACTCAATGACACTTTGCTTTGAAGCAAAAATCACATTCTCTTTATGGCTGTAGTCATTAATGTAGTTGTCTAGTTCTTACACAATATTACACACGCTGTAGGCTAACACATTTCCTGGAGTTTCTTAAGAAATGATACATTCAAATGATGTGCTGGCAACAAGTGGCAGCAAATCCACATAGCTCATAGTTTTTTGCAATATATTTGTATATATTCGTAAAAAAAATTTCCGATTGATATTTTTTATTCTATGTCGTTGTTTCGTCTGACGATGAAGAAAATAATGTACACAAAAGAAGAACTCCTGGCCTTAAAGTTTACCAGATATGGAGTTAAACATCCCATACCGGCTGAGCAGAAGAAGCCATACTGTGGATGCAGAGCTAGGGCTAAGCTAAAGGCTAGGAGGTGGAGATATAAGCCTTTTCTACCGTCGATCCTCATGGTTTTCACGGAGACCTGGTTAAAGATTTACCCGGCTTCACTGCAGTACGAGCGGACAGAGATGCCAGAGCAAGTGGGAAGAATAAAGGTGGAGGACTGGTTTTGCTTGTGAACAATAGATGGTGCAACCCCGGCCACATCACAGTGAAGGAGAAGATCTGCTGTCGGGATATTGAACTGTTGGCAGTTGGTCTTAGACCATCCTATGTACCCAGGGAGTTCTCACACATCATCGCCATTGTTGTTTACATTCAACCATGAGCTGAGCCTGCAGTCGCCTGTGATGTCATTCAGGAGTCTGTTGCGAGTACAGACGCAGCACCCTGATGCATTCATTGCAATATTGGGGGATTTTAACCATGTCATTCTCACCTCTCACCTGACTGGCTTCACTCAGTATGTTGACTGTCCCACATGGGAAAATAAGACACGGGATCTGTTGTATGCAAATGTCAAGGAGGCCTACACTGCTTCAGCTCTACCACCACTTGGCAGATCAGATCATAATCTGGTTTTTCTTCAGCTTTCCTACAAGCCCTGTGTACTGAGGCAGGCTGAAACCACCCGCTCATTCAGGAACTGGACCCCGGAGGCCAGTGAACAGGACAGGCAACAGGCCTGGACGGTGTGTGTCCAAGGCTGTTAAAAAGGACTGTGCAGCCCAGCTGGCTGAGCCTCTCAAGAGGATCTTTAACTTAAACCTACAAACAGGGAGAATCCCGGTCCTGTGGAAAACACCATGTCTTGTTCCGGTACCTAAAGTAGGATGACCAGCTGAGATAAATGACTACAAATGACTGGTGGCCCTCACGTCACACATCATGAAGACCCTGGAGCGGCTGCTTCTTCACCCTCTGAGGCCACAGGTTGAACATGCACTAGACCCCCTACAGTTCACCTACAAAGAACATATTGGAGTGGATGATCACACTTATAAATACCTAGGTGTGCACCTGGACAGTAAACTGGACTGGTCCCTGAACACGGATGCCATCTACTGGAAGGGGCAGAGCCGGCTCTTTTTCCTCAGGAGGCTGAGATTCTTTGAAGTCTGCAGTGAAATGTTGCACATGTTTTATCAGTCAGCGGTGGCCAGTGTACTCTTTTAGCAGCATGTCTGACATGAACACAAAGAGACTGGAAAAGCTGGTCAAAAAGGCTGGGTCTGTGCTTGGCAGGAGTCTGGACTCACCCAGGACTGTTGTGGAGAGATGCATGCAATGTAAGATGAAAGCCATCTTGGACAATACCAACCATCCTCTCCACAACATTCTGGCAGGACAGAGAAGCAGCTACAGCTGCAGCAAACGTCTCATCTCACTGCGCTGCAGAACAGAGAGGTTCAGGAGATCCTTTGTTCCCACTGCCATCAGGCTAAACAACACCTCAGCCAAAGGAAGTGGACTATTCTAATTATTATTGTTTATTTATTATTAACTGTTTTTATTATTATTATTATCATCAACAATGAGCTAATGGACACATGAATTTGCCCTAAGGGATAAATAAAGTATGTATCTATCTATCTATCTATCTATCTATCTATCTATCTATCTATCTATCTATCTATCTATCTATCTATCTATCTATCATACACTAGAGTATGCATTTCTTGCTCACCACCTTTCTCTTGAGACTGAAAAATGGGAATATTTTAAGATAAACAATATACTCGAGGAAAGAAGGAACCTGAAAGTGTACCACTTTTTATTTTTACCACACTGGAAAAAGGAAGTATCTACTTAAAATTCTAATACTGCCCTGTCATAATGCAATATTTCTCAAAAATGGCTTCAGTAAAGAATTTCAGCAGTGGTTAAAAATTCCTCATTTTATCTTAGAAAATTTCAGCTGACATATAAGGCGTGTTAAACCTGTGACCCCGTGCTGACTTTTCATAATAAAGCTAAAGATTGACTCTGGGCTTTATCTCGGACAGTTCGTTTCTCTTAGCTGTTACACCTCCTCTGAATATCAACTACTTTACTGTATGTCACTGTGCAACAGTCCAGCTTGGTAATAGCAGTGGTCACCTTCAGATGACAAGCCTCTTCTGTCTCCAGCTCACCTTAACGTTGTATCAGCATAGCTGTATATCTCTCTCTCCAGCCCCTCTCTTTTCCTCTCCGTGGTGTCTCTCTCCTCGTAACCTCTGCCTTTTACTCTGTGCTGCTCTTTCCTTCCCCCTGTCTCATCCTCAGATTGTTGTCACGTTCCCGGTGCCCTCTCCCTCCTTGTCGTCTCCCTCCCTCTCTCATCCTCTATCTCGGTGTGTCTGCTGTCCTGTGCTGTGCCGCAGGGCTCTCTGGCTGATGTAATTTATGCTATCTCCTTTGCTAGTGTGAGAAGAGAGCGTCCTGAAGCCAACACTCTTCATGCAGAGTGCTCCTGTGGGAGGCTGTGAGCCAGCACTGACTGAGCTACTCTCTTTCTCCCTTTCACCATCCTCCTATACACAATGATCAGTCTGCATAGTGGTAGAGAATGATTAAAAATACCATAGTAGCTGTCAGCTGCAAAGGAAATTGGATGCAATGTCACCACAGGTATCAGTTCTGCGGCAGGTCATTACACCACAATGTCAGTTTAAGTGATGATTTGGTATGCTGTGTACGGACAGGGAAGTGTTCCACAGGCGAATTGGACTTTTAGCTGCAGTAAACACTCCACACTGGTTTTTGGAACAGGAAAAGATTTGATGTTGACTGAATATGTTTATGTGTGGTTGCAGGACTGCAATCCATTTCTATGACAACAGAGACGGCTTTGGCTGGGGAGATGAAGAGCGCAATGGAGGGTGACGCCAGGAGGACCAATCAGGTGGGAGCTCTGTGGAACTCACAGCAGCTGTAGATCATTTTACTCAGGGCCCTCAATCACTCAGGCACCTTCCGGTTTTCTGCTTGATATGCAAGGCAACTAGTCGCCTCTGCCTCTGCCAGCAACTTAACATCTTAACATCTTAGAGCGACAGCTCACACTACATCATGCATTTGATGATTGCTTTATGTGATCAAAGATTTTGGATTTAAATCACTTAGCAAGACAAGTACATACGGCCTCTAGAGACTCAGAATTCCACTGTTTAAATGAAGGACAAAGTACAGTGATTTGAGGCTCACTCACTTAGAAGAAGGATTTTCTCTCTCGCAGGTTCCTGAGGACCATGGGGATATGGATGATAGCTCAGAGAAGACCCCCAGCAAAGCCTCCAAATCCCCCCAGAAAAGCACCAAGCGGCCCAAGACTGTCCCTGTCAAAGTCACTCTACTCGACGGCTCAGACTATGAGACTGCAGTTGAGGTACACTACTCACTGTTTGTCAGCAAGCATGAAGAAAATGGCTTATTGAGCCATTCAGAAGAATTTGACTGTGAACTTGTTTTTAAAATTATTACAACATTTTATAGTTTTGGCCATCACTGATATCAGTAATAACAATATTTTGCTTGGCAATTTTTTTGCTGATACCTGAGACACTAAAAAGAAGCCCAACAGAGCAACATGGGAGCAGTGAGGAGTTTAATCAAAGTTATTCAGTAGAGGAAACAGGCTAACAGACTAACTTGCTGTGGTTGTGCTGTTGTGGAATTACATGAATATCAATATTAAACACATAAAGCATTGTAGTAGAGTGAGCAAAGAAGTGCCCTACAAGAATTAGATTTCCACACCTATACAACCATAAGCTGTTCAAACTCTAACATACAGTAAGAGGGCATCTCAGTGTGACAACATCTGGTTACACTTTAACATGACATCTTCACGTTCTTAAGTTACATAAATTCCAACAAGGCATAAAAATAAAGTGATGGAAGGTACATAGTAACATAACAGAGGGAACTAGAATGGCACACCTCTGCCACTGTACAAACTAGCAAACTTCCCAACACAATAAATGTCCAATTTTTTACATTGAGATCAAAACATTGTTTCCTGAAAAATTCCTGTTTCTGCCTCTTTAACGAGATCAGCAACAAATGTGTTTAATGCGTCTTCCTTGGCCCATGCCCCGTATCCTCCACCAAGTTTGGTGCAAATCATTTCAGTCATTTTTGTGTAATCCTGCTGACAAACAAACAAACAAACCAAACCTGTTTTCATTTGCAATTTCAATTTGCATAAAAGAAAACCTGAGTTGAGATGTTGGAAATTCGAAAAGAAGTCACAAAAGAATTTTTATGTTTGGTTGTTGTATCGATTAAAACAAAATGCTTTAAGACTTAAAAATGGAAACTGAATAAATTGTGACATGCACGAAGCATGTGACCTACACATTAGTCAGGCTTTCGCTTTGCTGAAGAAATGAAAAAGATGAAAAATAAATAAATAAAAATAGTCACACCATTACTGAGTGATGAGGAGACTGTGATGATGAAAATTTCACAAATAACAGTAGTGGATGGAAACATGTTTTTTTTAACCTCCAAATAAAATGATTTAGATATTTTGGCTAAAAGTTCTGCTTCCTCAGAACTCCCGAACGTTGAAGTGATAATTGGGTCATTTGACGTGGTGTTGTGTGATGTAGTCATGCATAGTCGGTGTGTTACCTGCAGTAGGATCAGATCAGCGCACTGCCAGCTGGGAGAGCCACAGGAGCACCCAGCACACCAGCAGAGCTATGTGTTGCTGTGCATGGGGCCAGCAGGAAAAACATGTTTAAGACAAATGCCCAACAAAACAATCCGATATTCGTTTAAATGTATGCTTCATGTGGAATATTTTCAGCGGTTTATCTTTTTCAACTGCTGAACTACCGTATTCCTATGCACAAGGGCACCTACAGAACAGTGCACTCTGCTAGTGTGATGGTGTTGCCTGCTACCTCTCCAAACCGGCACCGACTATGCATGACTACCTCATACAACCCCACGTCAAATAACCCAAACTATCACTTTAAAGGACTTGCTTATTGCTCTGTCAGACTTTATGGCAGGGATACTGCCATGTTCCCAGATCTCAGTTTGGTGGTTGCAAAGTTATCATTACTGATAGAAATGATTGACATAACTGCTAAAGTCAGACCCTTTCCTTTAAAGCTGCTTCCAGCTAACAGCTTACAGCTAAGCACACAGCTTCCTTCCCAAAGAGTTATCCTTTAGTAATTGATTCACCATTTGCAATTCTGCAAACATACAGAACATAATCAGAAAAAAATTACATCAAAAGGTTGTTTTGCAGGGCTATTTATCCACGGTAACATGCCCACATACTGAAAATTCATATCTTGCCATGCAGGTGACAAAAAACACAGCATTTTAACAAGGTGGTGTACGTCTCCCCTGTTTGAATGGAGTACTTGACTCAGCACAGTCCACCACAGTACACCTCAGTGGGATTTAGTCTCTCTGGGTAATACATGAGTCAGGAGATGCAGCTGTGTTGCTATTCTCACTGAGAGGGGAAGTGACGGGTAGAGGGAGGTGAGACAAGCTCTGCATTGTGGGGGATGGAAGGCTCAGATGAGCAATCCCCAGCTTTCATGAATCGTGACTCTATAGCCTTTTGTGTTTGTAAACAGACGGGTGTAGCTCTGTGAATTCCTACTGCCCCTGGTTATTTGAATTTCATAGTAGCCTACGCGCTCATCATGATTGAATACTGCGGAAAATCAATTTGCTCTCGGTCATGAAATGACTTCTGAGGTAGAGTAAGGGGTGTCGAAGGGGATGTTCCACACCAGAGGGAGATCCTGTGCAGGACTTCCATGAGCTGCCATGAAGCATATTAAAGCCAGCAGTGGAGCCCCATTGGATGCTGCTGATGATGGATTGTGATGGGAACGATCTTGTTGGCTGCTTGGCCTCATTCATGTCAACTGAATTGTTTTATGACTTACTGCCTCCCACCTGACCTCACATATTTTACTTACACTGGAGGAATATCTCGGGAGTCCAGACTGAGGCGTCACACACACATTCACCTTCAACTCCACCCCCAATCTGTCCTTCTGTCTTGGTTATGTGTATTCCCACACACATGCATACACATTTCTTCATGTCACCTGGGCAGTGACAGTAAAGATATTGGGCTTTGACAGGAAATCCATACAGCTGACAGATGAGTGCTCTCATGTTTGACCGGGTAGAAAATAGAATGGGAGAAGGAAAGGGGAGGAGGAGAGAGGAGGAGAAGATGAAAAGAGTAGGGGAGGAGGTGGAGAGTCAGACAGAGAGGAGGTAGATACCAGGAGTTGTTTGTGCACTTTACAGGAGTGTGCATATCAGTGTGTTTGCAAATGGAAAAAGGCAAGTGGGGACACAATGATGAATGCAGTGAAATCATCACTTTAATTACAGTGATGATGTGCACTGAACAAGCAGACTGTGATGATAAAAACACAGGGAAGCAGTCTGAGCGTCCTATTGATGTTTGGCTCGTGACATTATAGATATTGATTAAATTGCCCAGTGGTTAACCTAAAGCCATAACTGCAAATTCACCACCTGCTGACATTACTTTAAGCCTTCAAGCTGACACAGAAAACTGTTTATTACTGTTTTTAAGAGACATTTTGAATGAAACATCTGACTTTTTAAACAGAAATCCTGCAGAAACCATTCTACCCTTATTTTAACCACTTAAACTTTGGCTGAATGGAGGTCCAATTCATGAAATACTAATGGCCATTGTCACAGTTAACCACAGGCCCATGCGATTGTTGACTTCACTATAGAGACGGAGCTGCTTGGGTTTTTCCTGAATTCAGTGCTTTCAGTGCTACTGATATGTCAGCGCTCAGCTGCTGGTCAGCCAGATTACTGAAGAGGCACCTTGAAAAGGTGACAGAATTGATTAAAAAAACAAAATACCTTTCATATGTATCATATACTGGCCCTTTTGAAATGTGTTACTTTTTCACATTACGAGCATGAATTGTAACACAAAACTTAAATATCGTAACTTGGAGGCCACAGTAGCAGCAAGCATAGAGTAAAAAGTGGGACAACAGATACATCTACAGTATGCATGCACAGGATTAAACTTAGAGTCTGGAGTGCACAACATAATTAAATTTAAAGGGCCTCCTCAAAGAAAACCACCAGCTCCATAAAGCTGAGGTTCATGTGATCATGTTAAAACCAAATGAAAGATACATGACACTTGAAAAAGCTGAAAGGATGATAAAATCAGTTCATCTATAATCGCTATCATTCCCTCCTGTTCTAGCAAGACCAATCTAAAATGCATCCCCACACAACCCCTCTCTGCCTCCTCTGCACAGTCAGCTGCAAAAGCTCTGAGGGTTCAGCATTTTGCTCAAGGGAACCTCGGAACATATACCTACCAATACTGTAGCTCAACCTGAAGGGCAGTTTTTCCATGTTCTACAGTGCTTGACATCTTAAGAAGCAGCCTGTCTACACTGTGCTTTGAGCCACTACAGGGAAAAATTCACAGATAAATAGGTACATGTTGGAAATCTGGGGTTCTTCACTCCAAATATCAAATCATTTTGCCAGTGCTTGAAATGTTTAGGAACTCGAACAAATCTAACATATTTTTGAAGCTTTTGGAGCAGCTGTGGCTCAGGAGGTAGAGTGGCTCATCCAGGGTGAATGAGAGGCAAATTGTTAAGCAATGTGGATAAAACCGCTGTATTTGTGCAGCCATTTACTTTTTTTCCGTCACAAATGTTCATGAGTAAAACTTGGTAAAGCGTTTACTAAAATGACTCTGGAACTAGACGACATTTGATATATACCTTCAAGTGTTTCAGTTTTAATGATTTTTGCATTCCACCATATGGAAGCCCTGGATGTGATGCTGCTATATTCAGTGTGAAGTACAACACTCTCATGTTTGTTTACTTCAGCTCAACTGTACTTAAAAAAGCGCCATAATTGTGGAATCAAGAACATCTCTCGATTGATTCTTGATTTACATTACTCATCATGAGTCCGACTACTCAGCCTGGGAAAACAGTATAGTCATCTGTGGCTCCGCAGGGAGCTAAAAAAATAACCTGCTGATGTAATAGGCGTTTCTCAATGAAAGCTTTTTAAAGCATTTTAGAGGATATAGGTTTTAAATTTTTTCAAGCTTCAACCATAATAGGGATTAAAAGTCAGGAAATTTTGCTCCCTACTTGACCATTTATAAAAAATCTCTCCACCAGAGGTGGAAACCAGAGTTCACTAATGGGTGGACCATCGTCCAGATCTGGATCCAGACGCAGTCCTGTTCGACCCCGGAGATATAACTTATGAATTATTGAGAATTATTAAATTTTGACAGAGCGTTTCTATTTTGAGCAGCACAGATTTTCTAGCCTTTACAGCACTGGTCACATGATGCTACTCAGCTAATCACTACACCTGGAGTAAGAGAGTAAGATACACACATCGGGAGAGACAAGATGATAGACAACGACAAATAATGGGGAAAGTGGGAGGGAGGGAAAGGGGGAGAAAATGGAGTATTAAAGCTGTTCAATCGTAAAGATGTGTTGAAATAGTTGCACTTTTTAGGCCTATTTCACTTTTGTGAAACGAAGCACTTTATTTTAGCCCTAAACTTTATGGACACCCAATATCAAATCGCTATGTTAGTACTCTTTAACTGCTCCTGTGGTAGGATTGTTTGTCAAAATTTGTTAACATAGAACATAATTTTGACATTGATTTGTGCAGGTAAATGAAGTTGTACAATTCATTTATCTTTCACGCAGGTCCAGAATGCAGAGGCCACTGAGCACAAAATCGTGGAGGCTCCCACAGCCCCTCATTCTCCACACACGCAGCAATCCAAGTTTTCAATTATAGGTTCTCAGCAGAGGCCACTATCTGTTTGAAACACCTGTAGCTTATACAGGATTTACTCTGACAGTCTACAGCCTATGATCACAACCTGAAGGACAATATCAACACCTGTACATATATTCTATCATACACGATTTACACCACACGATTGCAACAATACTTTCCGGGTCCAGCAGCAACAATATCAACACATTAGCCTCGAGTGTGTAGCTGAATGCCTTACACAAGCACATACTGTCCCACCTTCACCAATACAGCTCTATGATTCTGATTCTTCCATCAATCTCTCTCTCTCTCTCTCTCTCACACACACACACACACATACACACACACAGTGCATTAATCATACTGCAATGTTACAATAGCAAAATAAATAATAATAGCGAAATACAAAAATGCTTTTCTGCCAGAGAAAAGCTATATGGACATTGTGTTGTTGTTATTTAGCCATGCCATTAAATCAGTGAACTTCATTTTGTGAGGAAAAATGCCCCCTATCAATTTTACCACCTCCCTCAGTCACTTCATCCTGGGCCCTGGCCTGAATGGTTGAAATAGTTAGCTAAAAGTAAGTTGTGACTGAAATAGGTAAAAAGTAATAGACTGTGGGCAAAACTGCTAACATACCCATAAACGGGTCTTTGTGGTCTGCATTGGTGTGGGGCTCCAGTGGAAATGAGGGTTGGGCAGTCGAACAGGTGAGTGTGGCAGGGCTGTGGCTCTCTGTTTCCTGCTGAGCGGAACTGACGTCAGTGGCTGCTGCGCGTGTCCTCCTCTTAGACGTTAGCATTTTCCTCTCCAGGCTCTTTTCTAATGCTAGCAAGTCCACTTTTCAAAAAAGTCGATAGAGGGTATGTTGTTTTTCCGAATGTCTGTTTATTTCCTCCTTCGCCTTTCTCTTTGCTACACCACTGTTCCCGCGTTAGTTTTGCATGAAGTTTTAAAAAGCTCTTTCTCATCCACCGGCTTTGCTTTGCCGCTAAATTCGCACGGCCATCACCTGACCTGACACGTCATCATCACGTCACAGGCCGGAAACAAAGATTTGCCAAATTAACTCCTAAATTTTCCTCTTTATCCGATAACTATATTTTCTTATCAAATCAATCGGTCTAATAAACAACAATAAAGTAATAAATGTTTGACAATTATATAATCTTTTTCGGTTTTACCTCAGACTTACTATTTATGTATCTATTCATGTACTCCTGTGTTATTTTTTATTTATTTAATTTTTTCTTTAAAAATGATTTATGATTTTTATGTGCTGTGGTATGTTGTAAAGTCAAGACTAGAAACTAAAAGAGCTACATTGCATTTTAGAAGCTACACCAATTTTGCCACATCTTTACAGTGTTTGTATAGCTGTTTGATTCTAGTGATAGCTTTCCACTTGAATTAGTTAAAGTGACTAAGTTCAATAGATTTACTTTCCCCTCGGCCTGCCATTAACCCATTCACTGGCACGCTGTCTCTCCTCATCTTGTTTGCATGGGTGAGGCTATCAGCAAAATGGATTTCTAGGATTACACCAAATGGCTGCTAACACAATCAGACCACAGAACTAGTTACAGAAATGTGATTGGAGCCAGTTGGAGCGACAACAGAATCTCATCAGCAGCTCCTGAATTGGTTGCCATGCTTGGGGGACCACCTGCGATGTGTGTTGCAATTTCATTTTGTTGGAAAATCGAATAAATGCGCCACTCCCCAAAAAATCTCTGACTGCAGGCTCTGCCTGTTAGTCAGCAATATTCTGTCATATACTTTGCCTATCACAGCCTCAGTACAGCAGGGTATAAATTATTATTTATTTGATTGAGAGACAGATGACTTTATAATGGTTAATTAATTAGCCCTTCTTAAATTTTTTAAAGATATGCTGACTGTACTGCCAGCTTTTCTTACAAGGGCTGAACAAAGCTGTGTGATGGCCTTGTAGAAACCAGTGATAAAGAAGTGAGATGGCACACGCACACACAGAAGGGACCTATTACTTCTGTTTCCATGGTAACAGTTGCTTGGTTGCTTTGTCGCTATAGGGGCCAGGTTTCCCTTGGAGATGAAGCTGCCGTGTGTGCCTGTGTGTCTGAGCATGTTTGTGTGTGTGGAAACAGCATTTTGCCAAGGCCGTCTGTGCAACCCACAGAGGCCTGTGTTCAGCCCTGAAGGGCAGGGTAGAAAATAGGTGTGGTCTGCTGAAACGCCACTGATGTGAAATGCAATTCCTCCCCTTATATAGGCATACAGAGTGTAGCTCCTCCTACTCAACAGGGGCGAGGGCAGGCTGGAAGCATCTCTCAGACCACAGTTGGGCTGGATTTTTGTGTGTCACTGATATTTTTGTCTCCTTTGTGTTGAGAAATATGAATAAAGAAAAGATTTTATTGTCCAATAATAAAGCAATTATTTTTACTAGATAACCAACCACTTAATTATATAATAAATGCAATATCTTTTCAGTTTCACAAATCTTTTTTTTTTTTTTCAAGATTATTTTTTGCATTTTGTGTTCGTGCCAGCTGATCGTATAGATGCAGACAGGAAGAAGTGTATGACATGCAACCAAGGTTCCTGGCTGGAATCAAACCAGGTGTGTTGCAGTTATATGGTATGGGTTTCAAGCATTAGGCTAGCAGATGCCCCACAGTCACACACATCTTTGTAAATGTGCATTATTGCACTCGCATCTGTCCTCTTCTTTCGTCTTTTACAATACCTATTACAACCTGAACCTGTCACCTGCCCACTTGCTGTGTGTTCTTATGCTACATATTTGTGTGTGTGTGTGTGTGTGTGTGTGTGTGTGTGTGTGTGTGTGTGTGTGTGTGCGCGCGTGTGTGTGAGAAACAGAAATTTGCCAAGGGCCAGACCCTGCTGGACATGGTGTGTGGCCATCTGAACCTGCTGGAAAGGGACTACTTTGGCTTGACTTTCCAGGACACGGACAACTCCAAGGTCAGAAACACAAACACACATACATTAAGATAGCTTACATTTACTTTTTTTCATTTTAAAATCTGTGACTGACTAATATAACTCTGCAATTAAAGCTAACATAGGACACCCAGTCAGAAACTATCCTGGGTCTTAGTTACACTAGATTTTATGTTTTTCCCTTAACCTTTACCCTTATTACCCTTAAAACAATTTACAGTTTTTATTTATAGCTGCTAATTAATAGATTATTTTGGTATTGTTTTGGTTGGATTATGTCAGCGATTTCAGAGCAAATATCAGACCACAGTTTTTCCTGCTGTTATAAAGCATTGAGTCCCTGGTTGCCCTTCAAACTGCTCAACCACTTACAGCTTGAGACTGGCATACATGGCCTTTAACCTTCTAAAATGTGATTAGACAGTATGGCCTTTTAAAAATGGTACACAGGGTCTGCAGTGCACCATGAAAGCTTTAGTGACATTAGGTGGACGGAGTGGGATCCATCTGGCATTTATATGCCCAATATTGATGCTTTCAGTGTTTGAAGAAGCTTTCATCCATTTTCTTGTAGTATGAATATATTTGCAGCCAGCGAGGTACAGTACTTAAAAGGGGCTCTTAAAAATGGATGATTTTGCTGAGGTTGAATTTCTCCAAAGGGTTGTGTCTTTCTTTCTTTGTCAGAATTGGTTGGATCCCTCCAAAGAGATTAAGAAGCAAATTCGGGGTAAGTGAAGCAGACACACACACAGGCACACACACACACACACACACACACACACACACACACACACACACACACACACACACACACACACACACACGCACACACACACACACATACACTCACACAGTCCACAGTATTTTCCTCCACAAAACCTTGCTGGTGGTTTGTTCACAGTTGGTTCCTGGATTTTTGGATTTTCTGTCAAGTTCTACCCCCCAGACCCATCTGTGCTCATTGAAGACATCACCAGGTATGTGTGAACGCAACAACAGGGACTTTTGAACTCACAGTTAAAGAACGCTGATTTGTTTTAGTTGCCTAAAGCTAATATACTGAGTTCTTCAGAGGACATTTTTGTTTTGGCAGGATTTACAAAAGAACATAATTACTAAGACCAGTACCCAGGCAAACTGAACACACTTCAAGTGAAGGTTGAAGACAAGGAGTTGACTTTAGTAGTCTTCGGGGCAACTATGAAACTGTGAAAACAGACAAGGACAACAAATTAAATGATAGTGATCACAAAGCACTCTAGCGTCTAGAGTGTCTATGTATGTACTTTATGTTCTCCACACAGACATAGAAGGATATGGTATATTTTTAGGCTCTGCTCAAGACGCAGCATCATAATCAACCCTACATCAGAGCAAACTACATATGTACACTGCAAATGTCATATATCACATTTAAGTAACTTAGTTACTGAGGTGTTTTGTGGTATTAAGCTATAGAGATACTGCACTTGAACTCTAATGTGCCAAGTGAGATACAAGTATTTCAGTGGAGTTTGGGGGTTGTGGTGCTTAAACTTTATGTAAAACGTTCCCAAACCGGTCTCTGAGTTACTCTTTATAATTCTCAGAGCTGTTATTAGAACTGTAGCCTCAATGAAAACTGTTGGCACTATTACCATTTTGAAGTTTTCCTTAGGACCCATTTTGATAACTTATGTTGTGAATTGGCGCTATACAAATAAAAACTGACTTGATTTGACTTGAATTTCCTGCTGGAGAGAGCTTAGAGCTAACTGTTGAGATTTGAGATTTGTGGATTATCATAAATACCTGGGAATTAAACTTAACTGTAGGATAGGCAAAGATTTCATGTCAGGAGCTGTGTCCTCCATCCGTCATTGTTAGCTGATTAATGCATAGAAACCCTACTCAATTAGTGTATAGAAGCTTGAGGATAATTACTATACCCAGCTGTATACTGTGACAGTATTTTGTTTTGCTGGAGTGAAACTAAATGTAAGAAGAAATCTATCTTTTAAAAATGTTCATATGAAGAAGAGCACCGGTTTACAGCTATGCTAGTAGCTCTGTGAGACTGCACTCAGACACAGCACAGATAAATGCCAATGTCAGTATGCTAACATCCTCATAATGACAATGCTTAACTTTAGCACATTAAATGTTTACCACATTCTCCATCTTAGCACTGGCTAATTAGCACTAACCACAAAGTACCATTGATGCTGACCGGAATGTCATTAGTTTTTCTGGAATTTAATTGTACAACAAAGTGTTGAAAAAAAGTTAAATGTTGATATGACGATGATACATTAAAGTCAGGGGATCACCAAAGTGATTAAGATTCATCCTCTGAGCTCCATGAATGTCTGTACAAAATTTCATAGCAATCTATCCTATAGTTGAGATACTTCAGGTTAGTGAAGCGGCTCACAGACACCTGGAAAGATCAACGCTGCTAGCATGGCTAAAAACCTGAAGGACTGAGACTGAGAACATTTCCAGTGTTTCTTCCAGGTGTTTCCTGATAAAATAGACACATAACTCTTGAAGACAAATATTAGCAGCATTTCTGTGTTTCTTCAGGTACTACCTGTGCCTGCAGTTGAGGGACGACATCCTGTCCGGTCGTCTGCCCTGCTCGTTCGTCACCCACGCTCTTTTGGGCTCCTACACTGTCCAGGCTGAACTGGGAGACTATGAGCCGGAGGAACATGGCCCCGACTATGTTAACGACTTCCGCTTTGCCCCCAATCAGACACGTGAACTGGAGGAGAGAGTGATGGAGCTTCACCGTAACTACAGGTCAGAGGAAATATGGCTGCGTTAATTTAATTGAATAGCACAAGGATAATGGAAGATGCTGGGCTTTTTGATTTGTAGGATGAATATGAAGGAAGTGATGAATCGTGTGTGGCATTTGTGTTGTAGGGGAATGACTCCGGCGGATGCAGAGGTGAACTTTCTAGAAAATGCCAAGAAGCTGTCGATGTATGGAGTGGACCTGCATCATGCTAAGGTACAGAGATAGTACACCCAGACTTTTCAACTGTCTATGCACTTTCGTATGAGGTTTTTTGATGCTCTATGCCTGTGTTCACCAGGATTCAGAAGGAATTGACATAATGCTCGGGGTGAGCGCCAATGGCCTGCTCATCTACCGAGACCGCCTCAGGATAAACCGGTTTGCCTGGCCAAAAATCCTCAAGATCTCCTACAAAAGAAGCAACTTCTACATCAAGATCCGCCCCGGAGAGGTAAATACAAATTATAATGGTCTTGCCTTTTGCATCTTGCTTGACTTAGCAGGAGTTCACTGCACAATTACTGCTTGCACACCCCCACTAGAACAGCTCATGACAGTCACTCTGCCTCAAAGCCGAGGCAACTGGAATGATCATTTGGTAAAGAGCCAACCCCATATTTCTATTTCATGGTTTCACAGTTGTTAAAATTACATCATTGTCTCTCCTGACTTTTCCCAAGCAGCATAAATAGTCATTTCATGGTTTGATAAAAGAGTTATTTCTGAGATTTATCTGCTGCAAACCACGTGACAACTGACGAGGAGTATTTTTTCAGACAGTATTTATAGCCCTCAGAGATACTGTTCTTAAATATTAGGCTGATAGGTCATGTTTTTATTCTTTTCCTCCTTCTCCCAGTCTTTATAGTGACTTTAAAGCCTGATTAGCCAGTCGTGAGGATTTGCACTTTCATCAAGGATTTTACTTGCAAGTGTTTGAGCCACATTATGCTCGCTCTGGTTTTCAACTCCCTAAAATTATTATGATTTACTGTTTTTTTTCCCTTCATTCTTTGGCCTTCAGGGTATGTGGAGTGCGCTTTATATCCACTGTTAAACTGCCATTGACATCTTCATAGTGAAAACCAAGACCATTCTTTGCATAGGCTTTGTTCTGCGGATCTATCCTCTTAAATCAGCTGTCACTTCAAATTTGCCTGGAGGGTAGTCATTGGTGTTTAAAGCCCTTTTACTCTAAACAGAATTTTTGTGTGGAACAAAAGTTGGCTTCTTCCTGTAAAGACTCCTCCTAATGTTTAAAGACCTGTTATATTGCTAATAACCTATTGATCTGTAAGCGTATTCTTTCTGTTCACTCCACTGAACATCTGATGGAGCGAGTGCAAGAATGGCTAATTTGTAGGTTGGTTAGAGATGGAAAATTTACCTGACATGGCAGATGTGAGAATATATTTCTAGTACAAGTAAACAGAAAAACAACATTGATTTTTCCATTACTGCGGAGTAAACACATTTCACCCTGCCACCACCCTTCCGTCTTTCCCCACCACTCACTCCCTTCACTCTCCTCTTCTTCTTCACCTCCCTTCCTTCTCCTCCTCCTCCTCCTCCCCCATCCTCCACCACCTCCACCCCTTCCCCTCACCTCTCAGTATGAACAGTTTGAGAGCACCATAGGCTTCAAGCTGCCCAACCATCGGGCCTCAAAGCGATTGTGGAAGGTCTGCATTGAGCACCACACCTTCTTCAGGTAGGACTTGATATTCACAGATGCACAGAGAGACTCACCTTTTCAGCACTGTAGCTTTTGAACCCTGCATGAACTGTTAGCACAGTAGGGCTATCCTTCATGTGAAACTCATTATACAGATGTGTTGATTCTTTAACTTTTCATGGTAACACTGTTTTTACAGGTCACATTGCTCTGTAGAATTTCCTTGATAGGAACTGATATGTAACTGTACATTTACAGTAAGGTTGCTGAGGAGGACTAGGTCATTTGTTACTAATTACTGTATATGGAAAATGCAGACAGTGATCAGTTGGTACTAATTAATGAATTCAATAATTCCAATTCATTGGAGAGTCTTGTTAAATTTGTCTATGGGCAAACATACAAATCATAGAAATAAGTCCAAAAATAAATGATTATTTCCTTGGGTTTGAATGGGCCTTTCTCAGTTTTGTCATTCAACTGAAATGGGAAGAACTTGGTCTGTCCGAAGGTAACAAAATCTGCATACAACCTTGTATCTCATCTGTCTGTACAAAAATCAGTGTAAAAATGACACATGTTGTGGTTTTAGGGAGGCCAGACTATTTCTTGGCTTAGCACAGCAACTTCCTGTGGTCTCCGCTAACTACCTGGCACAGCCTCACGACTTGAGGAAGTTTTAGAGATGCTGGCTGGGGGGTGGGGGTTGTTAACATGGGCAGAGCCAGGCAAGCTGTCTCCCCCCTGTTTCCACTCCTTGTGGTTAGAGTGCTTTTTTTGATTAACTCTGCAAGAAAGCAAATAAGCGAATATCCAACTGAAATATTTTAGCTGATCCTCCTCTGGAAATCAGCACCTGCTTTTAAAGTCAACACAGCTAACTAAACTGAAATAGCTCTATTAGACAATTGTCTTTATTTTCCCTATAATTGGTGCTGAGTCACTTAATGTAGTTCTTTTCAGGAAACATCACAGGAAGTTATTAGGAAATGAGGGACCAGGAAAATAATCGATACCACCTTCTTTTTTCTTCTTGATCAAATTCTAAATTGTGTAATTAAGTAAAAGATAACAAGGCGCAGAGTCTGAGTATTTTATGGTGGACACACAAACTGAATCTTCCTGCAGGTTGGTTTCTCCAGAGCCGCCTCCCAAGGGCTTCCTGGTGATTGGCTCCAAGTTCCGCTACAGCGGGCGAACCCAGGCCCAGACCAGACAGGCCAGCGCTCTGATTGACAGGCCTGCCCCACAATTCGATCGCTCCGTTAGCAAGAGATACCTGCTGCCTCGAAGCATTGATGGAGGTGAGTACCCTGACTATGTCTACCCTGAAGTTCACTCGTGCTTCCTGTGAGGCAGTAACCCTCAGCTTTAGAAAATGGATCGATGGATGGATAGCAATACATACATGAAAACACTTCCACTCTCACACAGTGTAAATATTTCATTAACAGGACTTATTGATTTTTTTTACACACATGTATTTGTATTATGGCCCTCAGAGTGAAGAGAGCGCCTGCCAAATCTCCAAAATAAAGGCAGTTTTTAACTTGCCTCATTATAAAACCTGATTTGATAATGCACTGCTTACTATACTAGATCGTGTCATGTAAAAGTCCATGTGGTTGATTGTTACCCTCCTCTTATCACTTCACCAGCCTCAGCTCTGGGTGATAGCATGGACCAGCTGTCCCAGCGAAGCTCCAGTGAACGCACACAGTTCATGTCCAGAGAAGACCTGGACCAAGAGGGCAGCCTGGATCTGGAACATGATCATTACCACTATCACGACCAAGACCAGGACCAGTACACAGATCAAGAGCTGGAGCAGTATGAAGGCCAAGATCAGAGGCAGACACGGGGCGACCACTTCTCCACACCCACCAAGAATTATGAGCTCAAGGTATGAGATGAGAAGAAAACAACACTGTTCATAGACACAGAAACCTGATTTCAATCGCAGCTCTTGTTGCCTTGGTGTTATAGCTGTTGTACATTTTATTGTAAACAATATGAAAGAATGGCATGCCGTCATTTAGAAGGGGAGAGGTTTTATGGAGCTGCAGCTTTATCAGATAACAATGTAAATGAAATCAACGTATGGAGTATTGCAAGCATGAAAAACTAAATCAGAGTTTTGAGGACAGTACAGAGGAACATTCAAAAGTTTGACCTTCCTTTGGCTCATCTGAAAAAGCACATAGCGCTTGCTGTGTCCTGAGTCAGAAAATCACTCATGAACTTTTGACTAACATCCCTCATCTTTCTCTTCCACATCCCCTTTCATTTAAAACTGTAATCAACATCCTGATTCTTCTCTCCTTGGCCTTATTTCCCGTTTTCTGCTCTCCAGACTTATAAGACTTCTCAGTATGAGTTCTCTCTATTTCTTAAATCGACTCCCAAAATCTATTTTGACCTCTTTGCTGCAGACGTTACTTTTTTAACCCAGCTTCCTGCCTCTAACAGGTCTTCTCTTCTTGCTGCTGTAATATTAACTCTCTTTGCTAACCTCTGCTCTCTTCCTCTGACCCTTCTGTCCTCCACTTCATCCTCTCCTGCAGAGTGAGGAGGCAGGCTCGCCTGTAGACTCAAAGCCAGAGGTATTTTGGCCTTGGTCCTTAGTTTTTTTGTCTGTGTGGTTTTGGTTGTTGTAGGTCATGCACCCGTACTCTGTGTTTGTTAAGCATGACCTGTCCATTTCTTTTGATTGTTTGTCTCTGGAGGGAATGTTATTTCTCCTCATGTCATGATTTCCAGGATTCCACTGAGTATAATCCATGGAAACCGCATGAATTGATCTTCAAATGAATGGAGACAAAATGTTTAAATATACATTTATTCAGGCTCTTCCTTTTCTTTTTTCCTGTCTGCCCACTGGGAAATGGTTTCAGTGGAAATTCAGATTACATTTTCTTCATAAGCATTTAGCTCTTATTTAGAGTGACTTAAACAATTTAACTCTAGTGGAAAAGGCCTCTTGTTTTTCAGTTGTCAACACATGTTCAGGAGCGCACATCTTTAACAGTGTCCCTGTGTGTTATTAGCAGAATGAGCAGATGGCGCTTAAGCACTGGGATGGATTCAGTGAATCAGTGTTGTTAAAAAATCTGTTTGTACTCCTGCTGAGATAATCATTATTTGATTTAATTAATAATTCTTCTTAAATGATTCTTTGTTGTAAAGATACACACATTTGCATTGTTTTTATTTATTTGCTAAAGATTATTCCGATGTATCTAGTCAGTATTATTTTATTCCTGTGCAGGTGTGTGTATTATTAAGTACTGTAGGAAATATTGGCGTTGCAGAAGTCACCAAAGGGTCTGTTCATTTGTGGTTTCGTAATGTCCTCTCACCAAATCTCTGGATGAAGAAGTATGGGAATAATCTCCCTGCCCAAGCACTTAAGTTGAATCGATACGTGACTGCATTAATTATCAGTTGGCCCACACTGAGATTGATTGTCTCTGTCTTCTTGGCAGAACATTAAATGGGTTAATAGTCTTATAGTCCAAAGCCCCGATGGTGTCAGCTGTTTCTGTTACTCTGTGTCTGTCTGGCCGCCTGCCTTTTTGACTCACCTGCAGCACTTTACCTCTTTGTCTCTGCACGCATCTGTTCTCCAACCCCCCCCCCCCCCCCCCCCTCCCCTCCTTCAACCTCCTGCTTTGCTCAAAAACCCTGCACTTCATCTCACTTGCCCCACCTTGGGCTCCCTCATCCGTTGGACAAGGATCTGGCCATCCCTCGGCCCAAACAGGAGGTACTGCTTGTCCTCTCTTTTTGGCACGTGCTGTGTGTGACCTCCACCAGGTGTGCTGTGTTTTCTCATACCCATACCTGTGCCTGTCAAATACTTTTAGAACATAGTCAACAGCAAACAGCGTTAAAACGTTCAGATTATTTTTTTCTACAGCACACATAATTGTTTGGTGCATCCCTGTCTGTGTATTCTGTAGTATCATTTCTGTGCATGTCGCTCTTGTATTTTCGGAGCATTATTATTGGTTAAAAACATTTGTTATCTGTCTTGATTAGTGAATGAACACGAACCTAAATCAGTTTGGGTTTTGTGTGGTGCTCACTAAGGCAGAGTGCAAATGGTCATTTATGATAATGTTTAAGGTGTATCTTTGGAAGCATTACGATATTTTTAAACTTCTCCTTTCGATTAAAATGCAAGATAAAAGAAAAATGTTGATAAGACTTGATCTGAGTGAGCTATAATGAGGTCTGTATCTGTTTCTAGTCATCATTAACACCTCTATTGTCTGAGGCACAGCACAGTTACAAAACAGAAAACAGCCAATCCTGGACCACGTCCTAATCAGAGCAGATTTAGAGTATAGATTTTAAAATCTCTCTATTCATTTTTTTTTTTTTTTTTTCAGTTGCAGAAATGACTGTCAGCATCTAATAGACTTGGAGCTAGGATTTTTACCATGTTAATTCGTCTCCTTGATGTGCCCTTCACTTTGTGAGCAGCAGTTCTTGGATAAGCCAGAGGATGTTCTACAAAAGCACCAGGCCAGCATCAATGAGCTGAAGAGGGCTTTGAGGCAGCCGAACAGCAAGATGGCCCAGAGAGAGAAGCGCCTCTCCTCAGCTACTCCCCCTGGAGGAACCCCTGAGCGGAAATCAGTAAGAACAACTTCCTGTTCCCAAGTCATTGTACTTAATGTACTTAAATTTTGTATTGAGTTGTATTGATCAGCCTTTTCCCAACCTGTTTACCCTTTAACATTCTCTGATCCCACCGAGCCAAAACACAGAAACTTAGAAGAAAAGCACTCATTTACAGAATTTATGTGGGGTCGCTATGATTTCACAAATGGTAGAGCAGTGTATCTAGCTAGGCTAATGCAACTGTCTACTCTATGTCAACATAGGCGACCGGTGATGGCAAATTGATTGACAAGCAGGATGCTTATGAAGGAGCGCTGGATACTTACTCTAAAGTGGAAAAGAGTAAGACTTCCTCTATGGGTATAAACACGTTTGCGGTGACATCGTGGACTGAAGCGAATATGAAAAATTGTCAAACACCCTGGGACTCTTTGAGAGCTAGACCCGGAACGTCTCCGAAACAGGAAACAGACTTTACAGCAACAGGGCTGACAGATGTGAACCTCATGGATGATACCTTAGCATCTAACAGGCATCATGATTCTCTATTAGCAAGGAATGCCATTCAAGAAAATGGATATGGATCTCCACCGGACAAACAGAGGAGCGCAATGAACAACTTTGATGTGAGGCATTGTCAGTATGAGCACAACATTCGCCGAGAGAGACCAAGGAACTTTGAGAGTCCGGTGGCCGTGGATTCTCTCCCAAAGGGCAACGGAGCCAGAGCTGAGAACGATGCTAGGCATTGTGAGACTTGGAAGATGAAAGACCCGAGCCCCATGGGAGCGAAAGACTGCAACAAAATTGGGAACTCAGAACGCACCAAAATAGTCCCTCTCAAGCCGCAGCGATCAAAGAAGTCTTTGAATAAAGACAACAAAGGTGACGTAAACCCTCAAACTCAAAGCCAGCCAAAAGACGGATCCTGTGAGGCAGGAAGGAGACCAGATGATAATACTGCACTGCAATCTGCCACGGATTCTGTCAAGGAAAACACAACAGCCAGCAAATACCACAGTGAAGCCGCGATGTCGTATCAGCAGCAAGCTCAACTACATCACCAGATAAAGAATGAGTGGTCTGGACAACAGGAGCTCAGAGACTGCAGAGATGCAACAGGGCAAAGTCAGTGGACGAGAGGAGGAGGCGTGCTACATGAAGATCATTCTCAGTACAGCTCAGAGTTTAAAGAGAATGTCTTTTCTAGCTATCGATTTCAAACAGCCCCCCCTCGAAGTCTTCCTCTGAAAACGCAGTGGTCCCGAGACAGACAGAGCAACATGGACAACAGCCACATCCACTACAGGACGCCCAGTCAGGAAACAGCCAAGAGGAAGCAAGCGGTAAACCTCCTGCCCCCTAACCTGTTTGTCAAACATGGGGAAAGTAAAGCATTGCATGAGCTTCAAGCGATGTCGTGCAAATCTTGTTTTTTAACCATCTGAAAAACAAAAACCAAAACAAAAAAAAAAAAAAAAAAATCACCCACATACTTCAGAACTCATGTGGCTGTGTATGAGAAAGCAAAAGTCCACGTTCCTTCGCATCGCATCATTGACCGACTCAGTTCACGTCCATGGTCCAGGGAGCTCTTTGCTTTCCCTTGTTCCCCCCCCAGCAAAGCTTGACATCTGCTTGGCCATTTCAGAACCCTGCGGGCCTTTAAGCAAAAACTCCCATTGCTTAAGCTTCAGGTGTCCCCCTTTTATCCCACCTTAACTTGTCACGTTAACACCTGGTCTCTCCTTCCAACATCCTCACAGAACAAAGGTGGCTGCTGTTGCAAGGAGCGCAAGACCTTTCCACCATTTTTTCTGTTTTAATTTAAATCCTTCTCTAGAAAATGGCTGAGAAGGGCATTTGAACCAAATGTTCTGCCTTGGCAACTCTGTAGCAATAGCAGAAAATGAAAAAGGTGATTAGATGTAATCACAGGCTGCAGAGCTGCCAAACCTCTTCAGGGCTCAGGCATTCATATGCCACATTTACGAATATGAATACCTTTTTCCTGAAAGGGATTTTGAAGAACCTAACCTTTCAGTGCATGGCATTACCATTGCACTTGCAGTCATTTTTTAATGACGTCAGCCTGTGAAATACACCCTATGTGCATGCTTCTGACAGTAGCCTTAAGCTTTAGAGTCTCTCTGGGAATTCTCATGTGTGTTTATTGTGCAAGTTTAACATAAGCCCTGAAGTTGACAGATGAATGAAGTGTTAATATTTCACAAATAGAAAGGCAGTGAAAGCCAGTAGCTCGGAAAATGAGAAGAGTACATGGCAAATGTGGTTTCTCTAAATATAACAATGCTATTACAATGCTAACCTCCTAACTCTCTGTTTCTGCTCCTTTTCTGATGCAGCTACACACCTTAGTTACAGTATAGATAGGTATTATGGTCTGTGGCTGTCATTTCTATGAACTGATACATGCTTTATTAGTTTTATATGAACCATTTCTTGTTGTTTGTTTCTCTTCTATAGGAGACACCTCCCACACCTGCTATTCATGAGGAGCCTCTCAGCGAAGCATCAGTGAGTCATCCCTCCGCTCCACCAGTCTCTTGTTTGTTTTTTCCCATTTTTTTTTTGTTTTAGCCAATATTTTGAAAAAGGGGTAAACGAGCATTCTTCTTTCATTTGCGTGTTTGTTTTTTATGCAAAATGTGTAAATGGTCTCTGTTGTTTGGTTTCCTTAAAAGTGTAGTATGTAAATTCATAGCTAGACAAAACTAATAAAACTCAGTTCTTTTTCCTTGGATTACATCCTTTAATTACATAAGTAAATGTCCCTGTAGTATGACATTCTGATGGGTTGTTAAAGTTCTCCATATTAATGCATGTTGGTCTGTTCTGCAGAGGGAACCATGGGAAAGGCGTCTGGGCTCTGTATCAGAGGATGACCAGGACCACGAGATCCTGTACCTGAAGGAGACCCACCTGGGCATCGAGCGCAAATGCTCCAGCATCACTGTCAGCTCTACGTCCAGCCTGGAGGCCGAAGTAGACTTCACCGTCCTCACAGACCTGCAGACAGGCATGGAGGAGTTCTCCAGGGGCATGTCAGAGCTGGGGGAAAGGGATCTGTCACCTGATGTGGGTCTGTGCCTGGGTATTGACTTACTTCAGCAGCAGGGCCCTTCTGAACCATCTCCTCCGTTAGTATCAGCTCCTCTGTCCAGAGGAGCCAGCAGCAGCCCGCCGGCCAAACATATCCCGGCTGAAGAAGTCCGAGCAGAGGTCAAACGGCCCGACGTTCAGGTACACCAAACTTTTTCATATCAGGTGTGTTTGTAGCTCTAAGAGGCATCTGCTCCTTTCATTTGGTTTGTTCAGGCAGGTGAGAGGAACAAAACTATTTTTAGCCACCAAAAAAAAAAAAAGCAATATGGGTGTGAATATAATCTGTAACACAAAATGGCTAGAAATCATAATTTACCTGCCTCTTTGCGTTTAAAGAAAAGAGTGCAGACAAAAACAATACAAAGCGGCACTGGATTTCCATCCTCCCCACCCCCCTCCTGTGACACCATCATATCACCATCTTAGTGCTTTCCAAGTTTCCTGCAAAGTGTGATGACAGGCTACCAAAGCGAGCTGTTGATGAGTTCATGCAAGTTTTATTTACAAGCCCCAGTTTGCCTGTGCTGCTGTTGGTCAATGTGAATGAAAAATACAGAAATAGAGCCGTGCCACTGTGGCTGAAATGAAGAAAAACAAATCGTGGTGTAATCACACCTGAAGTGTTTGTCACAGATTTCACAGAAATTAGATTTTTCTCAGCTTGTCCAGGTTCATGGTTTGAATCAACAAAAAGCTGCACAACACAAAGGTCCAGAGCTAAAATATAAACATTGAACATGCAGAATACTGATGCTGCTGATGAAAGACAATGAAACATGCAGACAGGCAGCATGTTTTGAGTTTAATGATCTTGATTAAGCAGCTCTGAAGGGTAATGAAGAAAGAGCCCTCCATCTATTCCTTTTCATGTCTTCATTACCTCGGCCACAGAGGTTAAGTTTTCACCCGTGTCTGTTAATTTGTCATCAGGATTAGACAAAAAGTACTGAACCCATTTGCACCGAACATGGTGGAGGAATGGGGCCTGGACCAGGGAGGAAGCCATTCAATTTTGGGGCAGATCCGGATCATTTATTATGAATTGCTCTCTGAAGTCTAGTTTCTTCTTTACTTTACTTCTAAGATGAAACATCTCTGAGCTTGAAACACAATGCAACACAATCTGCATGTCACATTACAGTCACTTACGTTTGTCTTGTGCTCTTTTGTTTATACCTGTTCATCAGAAACGTCAGTGAATAGTCTCCTTTTTGCAAGCAAAGCGCTTCCAGCTCTCCGCCTTTTTTGAAGCCGTGTTTTACCACTGAATGTTAGTAAAAAATAAAACATGCTAAAACTGAAACTTGTTTTTTTTTTCTGCTCTTAAGCCTGTAGTTCCCAAAAAACCAAAGAGGTCAGTGCCAGTGTCATCGTCAGTGGACAGAGAGCAGTCGTACAGAGAAGCGGGTCGCGGCCCTGCCGTCGCACCGCTGAGCAGGGAGGCCAGTGATGTCATGCCCACGCCGACAGTGAGGAAGACAGACGTCAGGACGGAGACTCAGCCCAACGGGTCGGAGGTCACCACAACCATCGTGGAGTTCACAGATCAGGTTAATAACATATGTAGTAAGAAGAACAATATTTGAAGAACACTGGAGCTGAAAACAGTGATCATGTCATTTTATTATCCCACTACCTGTTATGAAGCTGAATGCCAGATGTTCCGAATAAAACAAGTCGTATAATGAATTTGTCTGTTTCAGGATCACGGTATCACTGGCCTCAGTGAAGTTTCTTACTCTACGAGACAGAGTGTTTCCCCTGTGAGTACAAACAGAAGGACCTCTCCAATTTTAACTCAACCTGCAGCGCGCTCAGTCCTGCTCTCCAGGGTTTAAACCTACTTGCAATGACCAGAATTCATGAACACATGCCTGAATGGATGTCCTAAAATATCAAAAAAGCACGACTGTTTGTCTTACCTGCAAGGATGAAGGCACATGTGTGTGTTGACAGTATTCGTACTTATTGCTGCTGACTGTTGCTTTCTCAGGTGCACATGGGCAGCCTTGGAAGAGAGACAGCAGGGTCGCCCATCCTGGTCACTGAAAACGTTACCTCGGCAACCACTCATGTCACCAAGGTAGAGAAGCTTGAATCAAAATTACAAAGCTTAAATTTGGGTGTGTAACTCCTGATAGAGCAGATTTTTCAGCATGATGAGGTGCAGGCCTTTTAAAATACACCGTCCCACCTGTGAGACTCTTGGCCTCTAGGTCTGTACTGGACTCAGTCCTCACACAACTTCACAAATTATACATTGTTTGTTTGATCCTCATCTCACTGCAACAGCTGTTGACATAGAATTGGTTCAGACATGCTGCTATGGCTCAAAGTGTTTTCGACCCAAATCATGTCAAACATATTACAAAAACATGTGTTTCTGCCACGTTTGTTTCCTCTGCAACTTTGGTTCAGAATCTTTTATCCTCATTACGACTGTTTTGGTTGTAAAATTTGAAAGACTCACATTTCAAATGAGACCAGGGTTATAACCGTAATGAAAAGGGTTGAAGAACAGTAACCTCTTTATTTTGGGTACACTGTTTTCCGGCCTGTGCACAGAAATGTGTGTGTGCGGTAACAGGGTATAAGAACACATTGTGTGTTGCAGACGGTGAAAGGAGGATATTCAGAGACCAGGATCGAGAAGAGGATCATAATCACAGGAGACGATGATGTAGACCAGGAACAGGTGAGCTGAAGTGGACAAATGAAATGCGGATGAAACAGTGAAGTCAAAAGAACCATGTGCACTGTAGTGAGCAGCTGTCGGGTTTTAGATTTGTTGGATCTTTGTAGTTCTTATCTATAGTTATTATTTTGGTGCTGGAAGTAATTACCGTGTAATCTGTATTTTATGTAAAACCTTAATATCCTTAAATTGAGACACTGATATGACAAAAAGTCAAGGTTTAATTTGATTTTGATTTGATCTCTTGCATTCAATCTGTCATGCACATATATTTAAAAACACAAGCTCACGTCAGATCAGATCAACATTAGCTTACTTCACTCATCTCAGACACTGAGCAAATACATTAATTCAATAAATGAAATATGAAAAAACAAACAAGCAAACCAAAAAACAATTGTTCTTTTCCAGTAGTCCAGCTAATGATTATTTTCATTAATTTAATTTTAATCTGGTTTTTACTTTCTTTAGATTAATTCTTAGAATATAAAAACAACAACATTGTTTGTTTTCCAGCAGTGCAAAGCCCAATTATTTAAAATAGTATAAGACAAAGAGAAGCTGCAAATTCTCACATTTCAGAGGATGGAACTAGAGATGATTTGGAATTTTTCACTTTTTTAACATTTCTGCTCAAAATTAATGAATAATTTGAAATTATTGAAATGATATATCGATTATTGAAATGGGCTGATTCTTTTTCTGTTGATAGATTAATCACTTATTGTCTATTTATAAGCACAACAATCTTGGCTCAAATTTGTACTGGAATTCAGTCTGGAGCTGGAAAACACCGAAATCAACAGAAGTATTTAGAAAAGTTGCATGAAGTCCTCGAGGTATAAACACAGTTCACTCTTTCCTTGCAGGCTCTGGCTATTGCAATACAGGAAGCCAAGCAGCAGCATCCAGACATGCAGGTGACCAAGGCAGTCGTTGTCAGGGAAACAGAATCGTCCACTGAGGACCGACACGGTGTATCAGAGGTATAGGTGCCATCTTGACTCCAGAGGATAATATCTGGCCAGGTTTTAGCCTCACAACCTCCTTTGAAGTGCAGGGATTTAAGGTCGACTGTCTCTTCTCTTTTATCTGCAGTCCTGATTTGCTGAGACGAGAGTGCCCCCCTTTGGACCAGATGTGTCAGTGCCAGACCTGAAATTGCCACCCACCATCCCTACTGATAGACTACTGCCAGTGGTGCTCAAATGGAGGCTCTTGTACATGTTCACACACACACATATACACACACACACACACACACACACACACACACACACATGCACAAAGCTGAACCAGGACTCCTTTCCAATCCTTCTGTTATGTTTTTATTCAAGCATTTCACTGTTGAAATCGTTCACTTTTAGTGGAGCAGTTTGGCGGTGATGTTGCAAAAAAAAAACAAAAAAAAAAAAACATCATTCATGGTCTTTGATCGGTCGACATTTATACCACCAAAATAATTCCAAACGTCTGGAACAATTAAAGAGATAATCCAACTAAATTCCCTGCAAAGCTCTCAGGGCCTCTATATTCAAACCACTTGCTTCAGTACTCCTCAAAGGTCAAAGGGAATTAGCGTAGAAGGGGCTTGTTTAGATAATCTGTGCACTCATTCACACTGTGGAATAATCAAAGGTCACGTGTCATATTGGTCCCCATCCCAAGCAGAAAGTATCATTTGGAAAATTAGGAATATGTGAAAAAAAAAGTGGCCATGAAAAGTGTCTTTTACATGTCTGTCATGCTGTACTTAATAATAGGAAATCATCAGACTCCTGCTGTGTGTGCTGAAAAAAAAAAAACTACTGCGTGTGCTTACAGTTTCTTAATAAGTCAAAGAATCCATTACATGTAGCTCCAGTACTGTTGAAGCATCTAGTGAAGCAGGGTTTAGTGAGAGCAGAAGAAATTCAATGTTCATTTTTCCCTCCTGCGTCGCCTGTCAAATGAACAAATGAGCGCCGTCCCACGTCCATTACACTGACAGATGAGGATGCACTGATTAGCCAGGCTCATGCTGTGCCCATAGGGTCCTCTGTTGGTGTTTGTTCAAGTGTTTGTTAAGGAATAAAGTTGGAGCTAGTCTGATCCCCACACCCCCCTCTATCTGTCTCACTTGTAAGACTTTACTGTAAAATGTATTTCTCCACGAGGTGTGCAAGGGCAAGGTTCAAGCTGCTGCATCGTGCTGGACTTTGATTGGACGTTTTGAGAGTTTCTGCATATGTCTCTGGACAGCAGGAGCTGTTAATACACACAGTGTACCTGTTGTATTTATTCAAATGGTGGCAATGTAGTTTCTGAGCATGCTGATGTTCCAGGGTGAGCCCAGTTTCTCTCCTCCCCCAGCCTTTAGACGTGCTTTGAGAATTCAGCAGGATAGATACCACTATGGCCATTTTGTATAGTAAGTACATAGAGTAGACTCACACCCTTGTTCAAGTCGCAGAACGGGCTGCTGCATCACTAAAGCTAGTATTTGAGATAATATTTGCATGATCATTTCTTGCATTATTGGATTGTAATTGAGTAATATGGATATGGACTCATAAGAAGGACGGATCGCGATATCCAGGATCATGAAGGAAACACAGTGGTAAATCACAAAAGATGTAAAGGCCGAAGTATTCTCAATCTGAAGTCAGATCTGAGCTCTGACACGTAAGAAAGGAAATGAAGCTTCCTGACAGGAAATGAAGAGTATTCATCATAGAAAGTGGGAAATATCAAGCACACAATGCGCTCGGTTGTTTGTTAATCGCCACATCCAGCGACGGCACAGTGGCGACAGTTTGTTCGATCAGTTACAACCTTTTTTAACTCATTCCCAGCCACCGGTGCTGTTTCATATACTTTTGCCCATCAGTTTGCTTTTAACTAAATTTCCCCATGAAGGAATGTAAAGTAGGCTATATATTTTCAGTTGTGGTGACGGATGTTTTTCATAGCTGGTTATTCTACAGCAAATTTTCTTCATGGTTTAAGATTCTCTGCTGAAATGGTGTCATGCATCAGAGCCCTTCCAATACTCTTTCAAACAAAGTGCAGTGTTAGAAATAAATTAAAATAAACAGTAGGGGCATCATCTTTGAACTTTTAGTTGTGTGTGATTTGGTACATGAATGTTAGAGGGATGCCATAGACATGTAATGTGCCAAGTAAGGTAGCAGTCAAATTGTACAAACTCTGATTTTGTATGAAATAACTTTATATGAACAAGCTACTTTTAATTACACAAGTGCCAGAAAGTCAAACACATAAACTTGACATGGCAAAGTTTTCCTTTAACTATGGAGTCTTTAATATTACCTCTGTGCAAAAGGCATTTTTTTATACAAAAGTCATGTACTTCAGTAAATCAGTACATGCAGCAGCAAAATCATTCAACTGAGAAAAGACGATGTTAAAAACTGTCATGTCAGGTTTATGAAAGTATTACTGAGGTGTAAATTTGGCTTTCAGACACTAAACTTTACAGTTAATATTTCACATGTGCAGTGTAACTCCTGTTGTGTTTCATATTTTGGTTCCAAATCCTTTAGAGTGATGGTGATCTCATGGATATGGGTGTCAAACTGGAAGGTGCAAAAAAAAAAAAAAAAAAAAAAGACAAAAAATAATAGAAAAAAAAGAAAACAATGCAGCCATGCATAATACCTTGTACTGTATTTTTGGTGGCGTTTGGTGGATTGTGACGATGTCAAATAGTTAATGGCCATGGGTTCCATGTACACTAGGGGGCACCAGTTACCTAAAAGAAGAGAGCTTTGCAACAACATTAAGCATTACCCAGCTGAAATCCTTCTCACTATCGTTCACTAGAGGCAAAATTATCCAAATCATCCTTGGATCAACCTGGAAGGTCAAACTTACCTCCCTGCTCAAGGAAATCTGACAAGTAATAACCAGACTGTGATAAATGGCAGCCACTTGGCTGTAGCTGAGACACTTGGTGCCAAAGTCTGATTGGACGACCTCTGGCTGACCCTTAAACCTAGCCCACTCCTCTCTGTACAGAGCCCTCCTCCTGCTCCTCCTCCTCCTCCTCCTCCACAGCAGCTTCATCTCCTCTGCTCTGCTGCTCTCCATTGCTCGGTGCTGTGTCTTTGCTGTACATTGTATTTGCGTTCCTTCGAAATGAATAAAGAGGAGAGAAAAAAAAAAAAGAAGAAAAAGATGAGAGGAGAATCTCTCTGTTTGATCTCTACCGAATATCTGTGTCTTATTATGGCTGGAATGTGCATATTGTCGTCTAGGCCCAATAATGGAGTACAGCTACGTTTTTTTCAGTAACGGAAAACAATGCAATATAAAATTAAGTTTTACGTTTATATATCAATAGTTTATTTTAGTTTAGTTTATTTAAGATGAGTGCAATGAATGCACACAGGGTTTCTTTTTCAGATGCTGCTAATGCATCCTACAGCTCAGATAAAGTGTTAGTATCTGACGTGTATAAACCCCATCTGCTTTAAAACTGACACACACAACATTCTCACTGGTGTTTGAATGTCTAGGAAAATGATTGCTATGATAGGGGGAGTTATATAATCTATTTAGTGGGGTGATATTCAGATGTAGGGCATTGATATCCTGCCCTTTCAAGCTTCTTCTCTTCACAACAGATGACTGCTGATTGTTATAGCTCACTGTCATGCAGACACAGCACAGAGTACGGAACAAACTGATGAGGCCAGTGGGTGGAAAGATCACTGCGACAGCACCAAACAAATCTCAAGAAGGTGACAAACTCAGTTTATAGGTATGGATCCGCAGATATTGATTGCACCTATGAGTATCTGTTTTCACAATATTGATCAGGAGCTTCCATGGAGGGATAACACTAACAGGCTCGTGTGATTTGAAAACGGAGATGGGCCCCACAGTGTAACGATGACCCTATGCACAGAAATAAAGCTACAGCAGAGGGGCTTAAAGAGATTAACATTCACTAAATTGAACTGGCAATTCACACTCTGAAATTGCCAAGTCAAGCCCTGATCTTTTAATTGAATGGAATAGGCTTCATGCAAGAAACTCCAAATTTAACAAAGAATTTCAAGTGTTCTTGAACAGAGAAATGGACTGGAAGGCTTTTCACACACAGCTACAGAAAAAAAACGTTTGGTTAAACCGATTTCTGGTGCAGAGTTGATGACAGTTTAACTTCCACAAAGACATGAAGACATTAGCTGCATGTTCACACTCTACATTATCTATTATCATGATGACTTAGATAAAATAAGGACTATAATATAATCTGACAAACCTTGACATACAACTGTGAGTCGGGTTAGGGTGATACATTAATATAAACTGACTCCGGCTGGTAATTTTTCAGCGTGACCTTGATGTCAAGTTAATGAAAGATGTAAAGGTTTATTCATGATCTTAGAAAAAGCAGTTTGACAAAGATAAAAATCATCAAAGTCAAGGTCCACTTGTTGGCTTTTTCCAGAGCAAACTCCATCCGCTGAGGTGGACCATAAGTGCTTTTTACTTCCCACTGCCTGGCCTGATGACGAAGGAGCTCTAACATTTGAAACAAAGGACGTGTTGCTCTTCTATGACATCAAAGAAGTAAATGGAGGAAAATGGCATTATGTTTATTAAAAGCAGGTTGATCCATTCAGACATCCTAAGCAAACGTAGGTACGTACACTGACCAATCTCATGCCAAACAGCAGCTGACAGTAAAATACCATCCCTACTAAGTAATAAGCTGCCACTTGTACTGTATTACAGTGCTCATCATGAAAGACATAGGAGAAAGGCATGTTGTTTCTGAGCCCAAAACGCCCAAAAATATGATCTACAAAGTAACAAAAGTGAAAAAATCTGGAACATACTCAGGGTACAGTAAGGTCAGTTATTCATAAATTATAGCATGAGTGAGCCAAAACACAATGTGGATAAAAACAGAGGAGGAAAATAAATAAAAATTTCCTTGAATAATAAAAACATGGATAATAATCATAAGACTTAAGGCTCATTTGGGACCTGAGGATTTCATACATACAGTGTACAACAATGTGGCTCACACAATGCTCAGCGTGCCTTTGTTACACACTTATCATGGATGAGGGAGACATCGATTCAATCAACACAAGCCGATGGAAGCCATATTGGGGGGGGGGGGTGTACGCGCTGCATTTTCTCACAATGATACAACAGGTGGAACTGAACCTTGTTGGCTCAATACCTTTGGTTCCAGTCAGTTTCATGGCAACTCTGAGGTTTCGATGTAACGTGGTATAACATAAAAGCATGAATAAAATCCAGGCAAAGTTACAAAGGTCCCAAATTCTGGTTTGTCATAAA